GTCGTGACCGCGGCACCTCGCGCGGGGCAGGAGGGGTTTGGCCGCCGCTCGCGGGCCCGCGGGGGATGTGCGCACAGGAGTTCTCCGCAGGTTACGCCGTAGCCGCTTTGACGGCGATTTTTAAATGCATTCACCAGGCATAACGAGTGACTCACTTTTCCCTTGCACCGAGTGTGACGGAGGGACGGGGGCCACTGAGAGGTGACTTTGCCTTCTCTCCAGCGATTGGCACACTCGGCTGCACGTTAGAATCACCTGAGCAGCTCTTAAGACTCCTGACGCCCAGGCCTTGTCCCAAACTAGTGAAATCAGCGTCTCTGGGATTACGAGTGGCAGCGGTCATTTCTTGGGGCGCCCAGGCTCTCAGTGTGCGGACGAGCTGGGAGCCAGTGCTCCGGAATCGTATATGAAGTGGAGGCGGCGGTGTTGAGAGAGGCCTGGAGGACAGTGTGGGAGCTGACCCTGGGCGGGACCCCCAGAGGCTCCTCTGCTGGGGGCCTGGTTCTCAGCGGGTTCTGACAGGAGTTCAGCCGGGAGTTGTCCCCTTGCGTTACATCATTCTTCAGCTTTAGGTCTCCACAAATCTGTGACACGTAAGCTGGGCTGGATGACTTTATAAACTTCCACTGTCAGTCCCTGTCCCCTTCTGTGGCCAGGCAAGTGTCTAGCCTAAGTAGGCCCAGGTGGAAGAACAGCCACCTCTTACGTAGCAGGTCTGGGGCCCAGGGCCCTGCTCCCCTTTCTCCCATGTCACGGAGTGATTCCCTGGAAGGTGTGAGATGTCCTTCTGTGGCTGTGACTGCTGATCCAAGTTAGAGAAGACAGTTGGCATGCTTGCCCAGGTCCCCTCTGAGCAGCAGGGGTCCATTTTGCCCAGCCCGGGGGCCTCTTCAGCAGCAACAGGAAGAACAGAAAATGGTCCCCCATAGTGAGGAGCCATTATTAGCCCCTCCGTCATGCAGTAAGCCTCATCCAGTAAGCCAAGTGCTGTTACAGGGTGGGGCCAGTTCCCTGGTCACCAGTGAACACATGATCACTCTCTCTTGGTCATAGGGCTCAGCTCCCAATGTGCACCCATGGGGACTCGCCTTTCAGGGTGAAGGCCCGGAACTGGGAGAGCGGGGTGGGCCCTGGGCCATGGGGTACCCCACTCAGTGAATGACATCTTTTTGGCAAATCTATTTTCATTTTGGAAATGTGAATGAATAGTTGTATATTGGAAAAAAGGCTGCTCGTCTACTTCCCTGCTGGGCTGCCTGGTGTCCCCCTGGCCGCGGCCTGCTGGGAAGTGGGCAGCAGCACTGACCTGAACTGTATTTTTTTGTTACCTGCAGCACCTAGAGCCGCTCCAGTTGGCACTGAAGCAAGGTGATGTAGAGTGGCCGCTTCTCGGTGCCTCGATTTCATCATCTTTAAAGCAGAGATAATCATGCCCTAACCTGCTTAGAGGTTCTGGGAAGATTAGGGTCAGATGACTTACATGAAAATTCTCACTTTGAAACAGAAAACACTAAGCAACACTAAAGAGTTCATCATGAAATCTAGCCCTTGAGGAAAGTAACTGTTTTGTTCAAAGAAAGTGCTATGTGACAGTTTAGGCCAAGGGTCAAGATGCGTAAACTAATGACCAGGATGACTCCTGCAGGCAAGAAATAGAAAGGCTGGGTAGGCGGCTGCTCGGTCCATTGCTGGGGACATGAATGAACACCGTAGCACGGGAGGCGGGGGCTTGGCAGAAGAGCGAGAATCTGTGGCATTTTACTAGCCGTGTTCTCAGGCAGGATCTCATCCCAGGCTGTCGCTTCCGCCCTCTGCACCCAGGCTCAAGAATGGGACATGGACGCCCGGCGACCGATGCCTTTTCAGTTCCCACCCTTCCCGGATAGGGCACCCGTCTTCCCTGACCGAATGATGAGAGAGCCCCAGCTGCCCCCGGCGGAGATCTCACTCTGGACCGTGGTGGCCGCCATTCAGGCCGTGGAGAGGAAGGTGGATGCCCAGGCCAGCCAGCTGCTAAATCTGGAGGGGCGGACAGGGACGGCCGAGAAGAAGCTGGCCGACTGCGAGAAGACGGCCGTGGAGTTCGGGAACCACATGGAGAGCAAGTGGGCCGTGCTGGGGACGCTGCTGCAGGAGTACGGGCTGCTGCAGAGGCGGCTGGAGAACATGGAGAACCTGCTGAGGAACAGGAACTTCTGGGTCCTGCGGCTGCCCCCGGGCAGCAAGGGGGAGGTCCCCAAGGTACGTGGTGATCCCTATAGGCAGGGATGGAGGTGAGGACCAGCACAGGTGAACAAACTCTCGATTTTATTTTGTTCTCACAAACTTCTCTGGCTCCCTGTTGTCTAACTTCCTTGAAAGCGTCTCTCCGCTTAAACAGCCCGGTCTTGGGTGTTCTCCGTCAGGGAAGTTGGCCTCCCCCTGTTCCCCAGCACATTTCTGTCTTTGAGCCTTCACTGTCACCGCTCCCAGCCCCTCCCCGAGGTGTCTGGGTGTCTGCAGATTCCTGAAGCTCTTCCTGCTTGGGTTTTCCACTTTAGCACCTAAAAGTGATCGTTTGTCATCGGTTGTCTTCGTATACGTTTGTCCGAACGTGGCTGGAGGCAGACCCCAAACCACGCTGATGGGAGTCCCTTGAAAGTCATGACCGCTACCCGCTGGCGGGCCCTTCTCACCGTCCAGAATCCGCGCTCCATTTCCCGTTCCGCTCGCTCTCTCACTCTCCCTCCAGCTCATCAACACTGGCTGTCGGCCCCGGACCCGGCCTCTGGTCCACCCAGGGAACAGGCACTCGACGGGGACGTCCCCGTGCAGCCGCCGCATGCATTCACCTGCCCGCCTGTGCCTTTTCTGTTCCCGCGGGCTTGCTGTCTCACGCTGTCCCACGCTGTCCCACGCTGTCCCACGCTGTCCCACACTGGAGGTCGCTCCAGCATGTCTCTGCTTTCTCTGTGCATCACCAACTCTTCCCCCCCGGACCGTCCCCACCAGCACGCAGACGTTCGGTGACACTGCCCTGTGGTTAGCACCTCTGTTCTCTGCTCGATAGAGCCGAAAATTCCTTCAGGGAGAGGCTGTCTGTGCTGTCTCCAATTCTTGCTTCCCCATTTCCTCTCCCTCCCCTTGTACCCTTTTTTATTATAGAAAATTCAAACACGTACTAAAGTAGACAGAAGAGTATAAGGAACCTTCCTGAACCCATCATCCAGCTTCAACAGCGAATAACTCTTGGCCGATCTCGTTTCGTCTGAATCCCAACCCCTGTCCTGCTCTCATGTGATTTAGAAGCCAGTCTCAGACGTCAATCATTATATTTATAAATATTTCAGTATGTAGCTTTGAAAGGTAAAGACTCTTTTTTAAAACCAATCATCTTAGTGGTATTATCCACCGCAACAAAAGCCTCAACCTCCTCGAAATCCTGGTGCTCAAATGTTCAGTCCTCTCCGCAGTATCATAGTTTTTCCCCGTTCGTGTATTTGCATCAGAACTGAAGCGAGGGCCGCCCATCGGTCCCGTCGAGCTCCTCACTGTCTGGGTTCTGCCCCTGTATCCTCCCAGGTCTCGCTCGCCATGTTCCTCTGTCCTCAGTGCTCCAGTAAAAGGGTCACTGGCTCACGCTCCCCGGCACCCACCCCAGCCAAATGTTCAGTCCTCTCCCCAGTATCAGTTTTTTCCCGTTCGTGTATTTGCATCAGAATTGAAGCGAGGGCGCCCATTGCGACTGCTGAGCCCCCCCACCCCCACCCCCCTGCCGCTTTCATTTTTCCCTGCAGTTCCCCGCGGAAGAAACCGGGCCATCGGTCCGTCGAGCTCCTCACTGTCTGGGTTCTGCCCCTGCATCCTCCCAGGTCTCGCTCGTCATGTTCCTCTGTCCTCAGTGCTCCAGTAGATGGGTCACTGGCTCACGCTCCCCGGCACCCACCCCAGTGGCTGCTGGGACATCTCCCTGCCTCGCTCCTCCTCACACCTTGGCCGGTTCCTTTCCCCAACTTCTCCTGTCTGGAGCGGGCCAGGGCTCGAGCCTTTGCTCGTTCTCTCCACCGTCCCTCAGGATTTCCGCCGGCCTCAGGGTTTTGGGCGCAGTCTGTGCGCTGTCGGCTCCCGAATGCCATCTCCCCCCGCCCCGCCCTCCTCAGGGTCTTGCCTGGACTTCCTTCCTGAACGCCAGGTGGACACTCCTCCCTGTGAAGTCAGCCTCTCCAGCTGGGTGTCGGTCACTTTCTCCGATTTAAGGGGACCTACCTGAACCTATCCTCTGCCTGGAACCCAAAGGCGTCCTCAGCTCGCTGAAGACAACTTTATCCTTCCAGTTGCTCGGGACGAAAGCCTCGGGGTCACACTGTCCTCCTCATTTTCTCACATCTTACTTCCAACATCTAGGAAATACTGTATGCTTTTTCTTCAAAATAACGTCCACAGCCCGACCACTCCCACCCACCTCCACTGCTCCCCGCACCGTGTGCTCAGGGCTGCCGTCACCTCTCATCTGGATTATGGCCATGGCCTTCTGCCTGGTCTCCTTGCCTCTGTCCTCGTCCCCTGCCCCAAACCATCTATGCTCAGCCAAGCAGCCAGAGCGATCCTTTTAAAATATCAACCAATCGTATGACGCCTCTGCGTAAAACCCCCGAGTGGCTTCCTGCCTTACTCGTGTAGCCCCCCCATTTTGGCAGCGGCCCCCTCTCTAGCCCCACCTTGCGGTACTCACCGCCACTCCGCCCCCTTCGCCCACTGCCGCCTGGCGCGCCGGCCTCTGGCCATTCCGCCAGCACACACCTCCCATCCCCCCTCAGGGACTTGCCTTCCCTGGGGACAGGCGTGGTTCGCTCCCTGTCACTTCCATCAAGGTCTGCTCGATTGTCACGTGGTCAGCATGGCCTTCTGTGACCACCAAAAGACCACGTGCCCCCGACCGCGGCACACGCTCTTCTCCGTCCCCGCTCTCATTTATGCCATCGGGCATCTTAAATATTTATTTATGTTTTGTCTTCTCTGATATTTACTTATGTTTTGGTTTTCTCTGACCAAAATCTAAATTCTGCTTGGTTCATTGCTGTGTCTCTGTGCCTATGACAGCGCCTTGCTCACAGCCGGTACGCAAAAAATATTTGCCAAGTGACTCCAGCTGGAGAGTTCACACTTCTACGGAGAAGACCGAGGCTTATCTGTCTTTGTATCTGCAGAGGCTACAACCCAGTGACTTTGCCAGAGGAGTCGTTTGACAGCGGCTTATTGAGGCCTCACAGAAACGAGTTGTCATAGTGGCCTGGTTCGCCCCTAAAACACTTCCTGCCACCGCAGCCCATAGACACTGGTTTTCATGTGGTTTGGCACGTGGTGCTTCTCTGGCATCTCACACACGGCCCTTCCTCTTGCCTGTGCTGTGCATTTTACCTCGGTGCTCCGACCTCGTGCGGCACACTCGTGTGTTCTGTGCGTTGGATCAGGCGTTAGGACCCTTGAGTTGACATGGACCCTCACAGAATAATGGCATAGTTATGGGGCCCGGAATCAGATGATGAGGATTTGAATCTGGGCTCGGCACATGCTGGTTTTCCTACCGCTGGTCAAGTATGGTTTTTGCTATTCTCAAGCCTCGATTCCCCGTTTGAAAGAATTGAAGTATAAATGAATCATAAATTAGTAAATTCCCAGCTGGTCCCTTTGAGCTTTAGTGTTTCCGTCTGGAAAATGAAGCTGACAGCATGCTTACTTTGTGGAGTCATGAGGATTCATTGATTTTGTTGATGGGACAACACTGTATCAGCCACCTATTTCTGTGTAACAAATTACCCCCAAACTTAGCAACCTAAAAAAAAATATCATCTTGCAGTTTTCTGAGGGTTAGAAATTCAGGAGCAGCTTAGCTTAGCTGAGTGGTTGTGGCTCAGAGTCTTGTGAAGTTGTCTACGGGCTGGACTTCCAGTCATCCGGAGGCCTGATGATCTGCGTCCTGTTGTGGTCCACTCATGTGGCTGTTGGCAGGAAGCTCGAGTTCCTCACCCTGTGGCCCTCCTCACAGGGCTGCTCGGGTGTCCTCACGACATGGCAGCTGGCTTCCCCTAGAGCGAGTGAATCAAGAGAGGGAGCCCAGGACGGAAGCTACGGTGTCTTTTGTGACCTGGTCTCGGAAGTTGTCCACCATCACTTCTTTAGTTCTAAGAAGCAAGTCACTAAATCCTGCTCATGCTCAAGGGGAGGAGAATGAAACTGTACTTTTTAAAGGGGGCTGTCACAGAATTTGTGGACGTATTTTAAAACCCCACACAACCGTAAAGCACCACGAGAATAAATTCGCGTTGCTAGCAGTAGTTATCATTGCTTGTGGACGCTTGGCTACGCTCGTTGCATTCTCTTTGTCAAATTCAGATCCTTCGTGCCTCTTGGATCCTGTTGTGTCTGTCAACTGCCTTATAGATTATTCATGGATAGTTTTGTCTGTCCGTCTAGACTGTAGGCCCCCTGCGGTCTCCGGCTACGTCTCAGATTTCTGCTATGCCCCGGCACGGTGAAGCTTTTACAAAGCGATGTCTGTTTCCAGCCGTGGACTATGGTTCCAGAGAGTTGCCTCTGCACAGAAATGGTGAAGTGAGGCAGAGGAGTTGGGATGTCAGAACAGATAATGAACTTGGTTTTGGATACATTTACTTAAAAGGCGATTCAATGGAGCCACTCAGGAGGCTGTCGAAATGTGAACTCTGAAGGGGGCAAGGGAAGTTGAAGGGTGTCATCTGCAAAGCGGTGACCATTAAAGCTGTGAAAAAGGGTGACATTAACAAGGGCAGAGAGAACAGGGAAGGGCAAGGGCAGAACCTTGGGTCCTGGGGGAGGAAGAGGGAGCCGCAGAGACGTGCCTGAGCCGGGCGGGCGGGGAGCAGCACGACGCAGAAACCACGCGGGAGAGAATTCCACAGAGGTGGCGTGACCTTGCAGAGAGGCGTGAAAGGGCGAGGGCTGACGAGGGGACCACGGGTGACCTTCCGGGTGTGGCTTCAGCGAGTGGGGTTCACAGGGTGAGGGTTCCAAAGATGCGTGGATTGTGAAGAAGGAAGGAAGCAAGCGTGTCCCTCGGGATTTTCCTGTGAAGGGGGAGCGGGTGGAGCCGTTTGGGGTGGCGGAGTCGAGGGGGGCTCTGGAAGACCCTGGCAGGAAAGCCAGCGGAGAGGGGAGACCGAAGCTGTCCGAGAAAAGATCGTTTGGGTGGAGTTTCACGGGCAGGAGGTGGGGGAGGAATCCAGGTTGCACGTCGTGGGATTTGCTTGGCCAGAAGAAGGGCGAGGAGGGGACGTGCCCACAGCCACCTGCGATCAGGATAGACTGGAGCGACAGGGGCGAGTTTGAGAGAAGCCTCCAGGGAACAGGGCCATGGGTCAGCGAGAGGCTTCCAGGGCGGCCTGAGGCAGGTGGGCGTCACCTGCAGAATTTCATGACTTTTGTCTCACAGCAGGAAACTAAAATGAAAAGCGCGGTCTGGATCGCTTTTCCCAGGGAGGAGATCCGCCCAGGTCTGTTGGGGGGCGTCCAGGGAATTAGAAGGTCTGGTTCTGTTTCTAAAGATGGCTGGTGAGTTGTCTGTCACTAGGTAGCATACAGGTGTGCACATGGCACCTGCCCAGGACGCCTTCAGGGCTATGAGCGCCTGGCGTTTCTGGTTTAAGTGAGGGTGCTGCCCGCCCACCAAAGTGCACATCAGTGGGTCTGACGCGCGGAGGGCTGTTCTTCTCCTTCTCCGAAAGGTGCCATGTAGGTGAGCTGTATGTGCAGGTACAAAGACCGACGGGCTCGCACTAGGGCAGGGGGCAGCATCGAGGGGCTGGATTTCACGGTGAGGGCCAAAGGCTGGGCGGGTAGAGGCGTGGAGGCGGCGGGAGGTAAGGCTGCGTGGCCGGAGAAGAAAGTCCAGTTATTAAAGTCACGGAGGTGAAACTGAATGATTCGGTCCAAGGCGAGGCCATCTGGTGAGTGACAGACAAGGATCCTGTGAAACCGCAGTACCAGCCGTGCGTAGCAGATGAGACGGCCTCCGGTCACAGCGACCGACGCGGGGCGCTAGATGGCTGAGGCTGCAGCAGGGCTGGCGGCCTCTGTCCAACACGTTGAACAGATCCGTGTTGACTCCAGACCGTGCGCTTCTACAGGCCTGGGGTGCCGCGGTGAACGAAAGCCATCGGGGTCCCGGAGCGTTAGCACGTGCCTTTAGATTTTACACGTCTGAGTGACAAAAATGTCTCTTTGTATGTAGAGGTGACCTGACCAGAAACACAGGTTTTATAACAGGGTTTTAGTGTACTTGGCTCACCGAGGCCCTCTCTGAGAACCTCCCACACCCCGTCACCCTGAGCGCCACAAGCACCGGCTTCAGCTTTACCTTCAGGTGCCCAGTTACCTGAAAGCGAATTTATGGAGGATGTAATGAAATGCTTTAAAAATAAAGGCAGCCGTCATCGTTCCGGGAGCAGCGGGAGATCGGGGGACAGAGTGGCCCAATCCCGCTGAGATGGACTGGGCTGGGCCGAGGAGGACGAGTCGCCGTGGAGAGCGAAGGCCGGGCTGCGGGCCGGGGCGGCCCGTGGCCCTTGAAGGGGATGTGGTGGCAGAAGCAGGCGGGGCGCCAGACTCACGCTCTCGTTGGCCCAGGTTCCGGTGACTTTCGTGGACATTGCTGTTTACTTCTCCGAGGACGAGTGGAAGAACTTGGACGAATGGCAGAAGGAGCTTTACAACAACCTCGTCAAGGAGAACTACAAAACCCTGACGTCCCTGGGTAAGGACACCCTCCTGCCTCTGGCCAGTGGTCCCGCAGTGGGCGGTGACATGCTTTCAACCCCTGGTCACACCACCTGGGCAGAGTGTTGCGTGTTTATGCCTAATGTAAACACAAGAAACGATTGGCTTATAATGCGAGGAAGATAGGATGATTCGTAATAGGATGAAAATTAAACACCCAATAACAGGGCCGATCATTGTGGAATCGAGTGCTATGTGACGCCACCACTATTTGAGGAGGGGGCTCGGGGAGGGAAGTGTCTGCCAATGCCCTTGGTGAGGACCCCTCGGTCACTTTCCCTGGGGTCTTCCTTCCCTTCCTACTCATTCCAGATGCGGAGGGGACAGCACCCAAACCAGACGCTCCGTCCCAGGCTGAGCCCAGGGAAGAGCCTTGCGTGTGGGAGCAGCGTGAACCGGGAGACAGAGAAATCCTGATGGATCCGGACACAGGTGATGGCAGCTGAAAAGACCCTCGTCCGGGCAGGGCAGGAGAGAAGCCTCTCCATCCTGGCCTGAATCCAACAGGGCTTCTCTTGAGTTGCTCATAGGGCCAGTTCTGCCGCCATTGAAATGGGGCGGTCACTTACAGGACGAGATTTCAGGGCCTGGATGCACACTGGGGATGTTCGTCCTCAGAGCCACGCAGCTCTGGACGCCCAGGAAAGCTGGGCGGAGAGAAGAGGACGGGGCGGGCTCCAGCCTGCCGAGGCCTGGTAGTGACCGGTAGTGAGAGGCCGTAGACCTGGGAGCGGCCCCAGGCCCGGCCCCGGGCAGGTGGCTGGGGACGGGGAAGGGGCGCGGACATGGACGTGTAGCTATGCTGTGGCCCGCTGTAAGACTGGCCGTAAGGCAATTTTGCCATAAAAGATGAAATAACAGGTTACTCGTGCTGACGCCAGTTGTCAGTTTGGTTTCATTTGTCCGTTGAGGAGGCTCTTGTAGTTACTCCCATCTTTACGTTACATAATCTTAGCCCTCATAGTGGTCTACGCGGTGACAAGTAGATGTGGCGATCTTAAAACTGGGGATGGTAACAACTGCACGTAAAGGCAGGTCGCATCCCGTGCTAGAGACTGATCACGCGTCAGTTTCCGCAAGTCCCCTGGGAAGCGGCCATCCCTCCCCCGCCCATCGGCACCAAGAGTTTACCAAGTATAAACGAGGTGGCTACTGATTCGCAAGTCTTCAAGAGCATCAGTTATCGATTCTTTGGTTGGAAACTGATAACTTCCCCTAACGAGGGAAGAAAACGTAGTGGGAAAGAGAAAGGGTGATGCCAAACGAGCAGACGAATCAACGAGCAAAAATTTAAAACAGTATAACGCTGCGAAGGAAAGACTTTGAAGACGATGTATTTTCATTTTTCATAACAAAGTCTTTTTCATTTGGTTATTAATTTTTCACGTTTCATCACATCCTTTTTAACGTCCCTCTTATTTTTCGTTATTTTATCTTTTATGGTGAAATTGCCTCATGGCCAGTTAGTTGTGCAGTGAGATGCTTATGGCAGAAATGTTTATGGCAAACGTGCTTGCGGCAAAAATATGTAGAACCTGCAAACGTCCGAGGTCAGCGGCTGTGGTAACCTTTCACCCTGAAAACACTGTAACCTCTCGGTTTTACTGAGTTTCATCCATCACTGTGCACGAGATCGGACAGGGACCTCTATGCCCCTTTTAAGGATGGGACTAGCAGACTGAGAGCCAGAGGGATCAAGCGACTCATTGGCTGGACTGGGGCGGCACAGTTGACACTAGGACCTACGTCTTCTGATTCCTCATCTAACTTCTTTCCTGCTGCCTGAGCCGTCTGCTTCCTGGGCTAGGACAGTGTGCCATAGATCCTTACAGGAGGAAAATGCCCTGTTTGTCACGTCTTGGGGTTACATAGAAGAGATCTCACTGTCTTTTATGCATAAGGTTGCTGCGCGTTATCCATCCAGGAATGGGGCTGGGTTGCATCTCTTTGCCCATCTAACGTCCTGCTGATCATGTATGCGTATGCGAGTGTGTGTCTGTGTTGTGTCTGGTCAACTCTTTCTAACTGGGGTGAAAATCAAGGACGAATGACTCCTACACAAAGGTCAAACTTATGGCCTGCTCCCGATCCGCACCCAGCCTGGCGTGAGGCTGTTTCTGGAACTCTGTTCCAGCTTTCGCACCTCATTTTGTCCTTCGGCCTGCCCCTTTGTCCTGGATGTTGATCGCCTCTCTGCTCCCGGGACCTTCTGCTCCTCGGGGTTCCCCAGAGTCACCCCCAGGAACCCGAGACTCCTGTGCTCTTCCCCGACGAGTGCTATCAGCCGTGCTCCCGACCCCAAGAGCGTTTGGGTGACGATCATTCAGGGAAAAAAAGACCCTGAATGATGTGATTCCGTGTCCCCAGGAGCGGAGCCCCTGGTGCCTGCGCAGGAAGCCCCCTCTCAGGTGAAGCGGGAGGAAGCACTGTGTCAGACCCGGGGTCAGCGGGGCCTTGAGGAACGAGCCATCCCCACGGAACCCGTCACCGGTGAGTGGGCGGAATAGCCACCGAGCAGGGTGCGGGGGGAGGTCCTGCAGGGTCCCGCAGGGTGCCCAGTGCTATGCGCCGTGCCTGCAAGACCGGGGGCCTGAGCTGGAAATGGGAGAGCTGTGCGTCCGGGATGGGCGCAAACGTGGCCCGGGGCGTTGACAATGTGCAGGCTCATCTGGGCTTAGTTCCGTTTCCTCTCTTTGTAATATCAGTTTTTAACTACCCCTTCCATCCTCGCGACAGGCACTGTCAGGGCAGCAGTGCTGTGTGAAGGCACCTTAGGGGGCTCTGTGGGCGGGGGGTGTACCAGTCCGTAACACCTGCCTCGGACCCAGAAGAGCCTTCGTTGTTTTATACAAGCCTTTACAGACTGTGGCCTCTGCACCAGGCATGGGCTCGGCTGCAGTCCTGTGGGGCAGTCTGGAAGGTTCCTCTTGGATGGCATCCAGCTGGACTCTGGGTGTGAGAACAGATGTGAGAGCAGATGTGTATTGGCATTCTCCAGAGACCCAATGGGGGCGGGGGGGTGTGCTTGTGTGTAGAGAGAGAGAAACAGATCAGTCGATTGATTGATTGATTGCTTGATTGATTGGAAGGCATCGGCTGGCACATCCAGAACCTTCAGATGGGCCAGCAGGCTGGGAAGCCAGGGCTGTCTGCTGGCAGAAATCCTTCTTCCTCGGGGGAGGCCAGCATTTTCTTTAAGGCCTTCAAATGATTAGGTGAGGCCCACCCGCATTATGGAGGGTAATCTGCTTTATTCAGAGTCTGCTGATTTCGGTGTTAAGTCCATCTAAAAAAAAATACCTTCACAGCAACATCTAGAATAATGTTTGACCAAATATCTGGGTACTGTGGCCTAGCCAAGCGGACACATAAAATTAACCAGCACAAGATATATTAACACACTATAGCCCTTAACTTATCCGCAGGTTAGATCTCCACAAACCTCATCCCCCTTAGTCAGAGCCTCACACCCATAGGTAAGTGATAACAGCGGCTGAGTTGAGGAAAGCCGGTTCCCTTGTCATCCAGCACCGTCCTCGAAGGCATCATGGATTACATCTTCCAAGAGATTTCAGAGATAAGAGGGTAAAGGAGGTTTAATAGAACCTCCTCTAAGCTCCTAAAGCACAAGACTCTCTCTCGAAGTCACTGTTACGTCGCTCCCTGACAGTAGCCAGTTATTCACAGCAAAAGCTCCGTTAAGTCCAAGCTGACTCAAACCTTTAACTACTTAGCAAAATTTAATTATACCCGACTCGTAGGGAAAAGACGTAATTGCATGAAATGAGAGATTTACTCAGAGCACAGACTCGTGGGCATTTTCATGTTCCCCAACACTTTTGCCACTCTGTCCCCATGTGCAGACTCGCCAGCCTCTGCCCAGGACCTCTTGTCCCGGATCAAACAGGAGGAGCCCCCGTGTGTGTGGGATCAGCAGGACTTGGCGGAGAGAGACATACCAACCGACCCCAATTCAGGTGAGCAGGATGCCAGAATGAAGATCGGGGGGACAGTCGCCTCTCAGCTGACTTTTCTAACTTTTGGCAAATCCACCAGCGATTGAGTCACTTTTGGTCAAAGACCAATGAAGGCTCAGAAAAAAAAAAAAAAAGTGACTTTGCACAGACTTTACAACTATTAGTAAAGTGAAGAGGGTTTTTCTAACGGAATCATTAAATCGATAGTTTGCTGTGTCACTGTGAATAATACTGAAACGACTCCACTGACTTTTGAACAATACATATGACCAAAAAGGCTTCTGTGACAAAAAGAAAGTAATTTACAGTTTTTGGAATTTTTGAGTGAATACTAGTTAGATGTCTCCCAGCAAACGTCTGAGCAGGGGCCAGACCTAAAGGAAAGCATAAAAGAACCGTAGGGAAGCCCAGGGCCTGTGTGTGGGCACGTGCGTGCGTGCACGCGCGCGCGTGTGTGCGTGTGTTCACATATGCTTGCAGACCTGGAGAAATCCAGCGGCATCTTGTTCGGTGGCCACCTCCCGTACCAGGACGTAAAATCTAGCATAGCTTGTAGTTTTTCAACTCTACAACCTTACGCTGGGGAGGTGGAGACGGTTCCAGGGCGGAAGGGCAGCTGACCCTTCCCTCATAAGGAGCCAGTCTCCACTGCAGTTCTTACAATGACCTTTGGTCACCACTTCTCCCATCGCTGATTTTTAAGTCCTGCCTCTCCTCCCTTGGTCCCGTGGGTGTCAGAGACCAGGCTGCTCTCTGGCCTGTCCGGGACCCATAGGCTGCTCTGGGGCTCAGTGGACAGAGTCAGAAGACCTGGGTTCTGATCCTGGCTCTGCCGCCACATAGACCCGAGACAAAGCTCCTCATCCCTGGCCACCTGGGGTCCCATTTAGGCGGGCATGAGCTCGGGGAGGACAGCCGGTAAATGAAACAGGTACCCAAACTGCCACATGCCCTGTGAGCCGGAGCCACAGCCTTCGCATGTGCTGGTTTTCAAAGCCTGGGTGGGCGGCTCGGCAGAAATGAACCGACACTAAGTCTGCCTTCTCTCCTCGAACAGAGTCCCTGATCTCAGCACATGACATTTTGTCATGGATCAAGCAGGAGGAGCAGCCGTACACATGGGGCCCGCGTGACCCCATAGAAGGAGAGCCCAGCTTAGACTCTGGCCCCGGTGAGTACTGCGCCCCGGGCCCCCTGGGAGTGTCGTCCAGAGGGAGGGCTGCTTGCCCCAGGCCACCCCCGATAAGGCGATGCTCGGTCACGGTGGCCTTTCAGTGGTCTCTACCAGAGCACTGTCCCCTTCCCTTTTGGAGCTGTGGTCATTTCCTAGGGCTGTCTTAACAAAGTCTCATGAACTGGGTGGCTTTAGACAACAGAAAGGTGTTGTCTCACAGTTTTGGGGACCAGGAGTGCCCTCTCTGAAAGCCGTAGGGAGCCCTTCCCCACCTCTTCCTAGCTCCGGCGTTTGCTGGCAGTCTTCGGCGTTCCTGGGCTTGTAGCTGTGTCACCCCAGTTCTCTGTCTTCACGTGGTGGTCTCCCTTTGTGACTGTGTCTGTGTCTTCACCAGGCCATCTTCTTATAAGGACAGTCATATAGGGTCAGGCCCCACCCCCAATCCCACTATGACCTCATCTTCACTAATTACATCTGCAAGGACCCTATGTCCAAATAAGATCACATTTTGAGGTCCTGGGGGGTTCAGATTTCAACGTATCTTTTTGGGAGATACAGTTCAGCCCACAGTAGCAGGGGAAGGCGAATGGGCTGGGAGTGAGCGGAGCCGGTGGGGCCTGAGCAGGTACTGTTGGCAGCAGGTGGCTCACATACTGGGAAACACTGGCCACAGTACTCAAGCCGGTTATGAGCTGACACCCCAGTGTCACTGGTGAAGATCCTCAAGCTCAAGGAGGGAGAGGGGCTATTTTTCCCCCAACAAGTTTCCGACCAAACATCTCACCCGACTTGGGTCTCGGGTGAAACTCCACTCATTGGCCCGGGGCTGTAGGCCTGTGCTTGTGGATTATCTAACACTCTGAGCGCATGGCCAGCGTTCCTTGCCAGACCCAGTGCCATCGCCCTGAGAACAGCTGAGTTAGTGTCTTCTGATCGGTTGGAGTGTTGAAGGGGCAGCTAAACATATGTTCCTTGTCCATACTCCTGACGCCCTCTAAGAGCTTAAAATCCACGTAAGAGCTGAGGACACAGGTCATTTCTGGTCCGAAAGGCTATTTCAAACCCAGGTAAGTGGATCCCCATTGTCAGTGAGACAAACTTAGTTCAGTCTGGAGAGCGGGGAGGGGCTGGGGGACTGAGCAGGGGACAAGAGAGGAACAGTATGTGTCCTTGTTTAACACAGAATTCAAGGTAGTCTTCTTTCTAACCTGTCGGTGGGGTGAGATGAGACAGGGAAAGCCAGAGACTCTGAGGCCAGGGAGAAGTGACAACAGCTCTACAGCTCCCAGGCCACCATTTCTAGCTTTGGCCTTGAAGGCATAGATACCAGTTTATCACACATCATGCCAGGAGATTCTACCCAAACCTTTGTCCCTCAAGGCTATCTTTTGATTTTCGCGAGTCAGCTAGGACCACGTGGGCCTGGAGGAGCCTTTTCCTCCTGTGCGGTTGTGGGGACAGATCTAGGGAAGCCTGTGCGGAAATTGCAAGACTCTGCAAGTTACTGGACCATTTTACTTCTTCAGTTGGACGTGCTAAGCCATAGAACAATTTGCCTCGTGTTGTTTTATCTCTGGGAGGCCTTGGAACTTTAGCATTTTAGCAGGACACGCCCAGAGTTTGGGAGACGGGGGTATCTGGAGATGCTTCTCCTGCCTGCCCGGTCCCAAAGCCTCTTACCAAGAGCCCCTTGTTTTTCTTCCAAAATGAGCCTGCCTTCCAGTGTTAATTTTGGAATGTGAAATTAGCAACTCACCTGTGATTTTTTTGAACACCAAAACACATCCAGTGTTGGGGTTGCCAAGGACAACCGGATGGACTTTTGGTATCCCGTGGCACAGCCATCCGGGTAGGGGTTGGAAGGGGAGAGGGTGGTGAGGATAGAGTAAAACTCAGAAGTACTTGATAGCCGTCTGTCCCTGCCATCCTCCTTCAGACTTCAGCCTAACAGACACCAGACTTTAGTAAAAGGAATGCCCGACCTCATAGATTAATGAGTGCGCATTCGCCCCTGCTCTCTGACAGCCCGTGTAAGACAGGGACACAATCTGGTTCACCCAGAGGTAGACTGCTTGAGGCTCCAGGGAGTCAGAAGTAGGAGGAGGACTCTGGAGTCTCATGGTACCAGGCGCTTTCCCTTCCGGAGTGAGTGCTGGTCAGGAGCAGGAGCCAGAGCCGGGTTCCCCTCCCCCCCCACCCAGATGCCGGCCCCCAGAGAATGTGATTTGAGAGCACCCTCCTGAAATTCTTACATTATGCACTGCCTTAGGTTAAAAGTGTTTCCAGCCTCCTTTGGTTTCTGTTATGTGACAAATATCTACTTAGTGCCTTCTCTGTGCCAAGCAGCCCCCTTGCATCCTGGAGGCATGTTCTGTCCTAAACGCTGCTGCTTACTTGACTCGCTTCTGGTGCCCTCTAGGTGGCTTTGGGCAGGTCAGAAGGTCAAGGAGCCCTAGAGCCATGCGGGACGTGACCGTGACCGCTTGCCTCGTTCAGCCTCATTTTGTAGAGAACCTGAGGCCCAGATCACCTGTGACTCACGCCAAGCCACAGAGGAAATCGGGGACGCTGTGGGGTCCTGGGCAGAGCGCTGGCAGCCTGTCACCTCTCTGTGTCTCCCCCCTCCAGGTGACAGCCTGCTGCTGGTGAAGAACCCGGCCCCGCAGCCCCAGCCCGCTCCGCCGAGCCAGCCCCCGGCCGCGGCGG